TTAAATTTGCATCTTAATGTGATCTTTCAAGTCAAGCATTTTTCCTATAATTGCTGGGATGTGGGTAGACAATGAAAAAAGAGGTGAAGCCATCTGTAGTTTGGGGTCAGGTCACTAATTGACAATATGTTAGGTTCTGGGGAATTTAAAGCACAGACTCTTAAATATGTTTCCCTCTTTTTGAGACTGCATTTGTTTAGTGAAGGAAACATAATCTTGATTTTTTTTATATGCATAAAAATCTGTTTCTTTAACGTTTGCTATTTACTATGCTTCCAGGAGCCTTTCTAATTGTCTTAAATTAAGATCAGACAGTATTATTATTATTGGTGAAGAAAACAGGAAGAGCCTGGTCAGAACAGCCCTTGGGACTTTGCTTTTGTTTGTCTAGCTCCATTTTCAATCGGTTATTTATTTTTCAGTTTGTCATTTAAATCTTACTCAAAAAACAGGCGCTAAACAGCCTGAGCTGCCATGGGCCTACATTTTGCTTGAGTCCTATCACACAAAAATAATTCCACCAAGTTCCAGAGCTACCAGGGTCCTACAGGGAGACAGATTTGAAAATAGAACACATTCTGTGTGGGGCTGCAAGGTTACATGAAGAGTCTCCCCCTGCGTAGGTGGTGGGCCTTGGATAGACAGCCTTCCTTCTGGATCTCATGGGACAAATAGTTCATTTCCAGTGCTATCAGTTCTTTCTTATCTTTCCTCATGTTTCTCCACAACTGTCCCCTTGTCCTCCACTATAGTCTCTCCATGATATCTCTGAATAACCCAGTTTAAAATTGTTTATGAACAATAGTGAAAAATATCTATTTATAGAGCTCTGAGATTGTTCTTTATATGACACTTAAAAAGTCCTGGGTTGACTGGATCTTTTCAAATCCTTGAGTTTGGTGTTCAACTTGCAATTTATCTTCCTGAAACCCCCCCACAGCTTCACAGACTTGTGCTTGCAACTTATATTTGCGTCATCTGTTTGGCCGAAAGCAGCTCTGTGAGTTATGGCACCAGAGTTAACCTGGTGTAATTAATTTTCTTGTGGTGTCACTTGTATTGGCAGCCAATCCCGTGAAGAGGAAGTGTTTAAAATGTGGGCATTCTTCGAGGGCATAATCTCTGTGCATGTTAGTGCTGATAGGAGCAGCAAGGAGACTACATAATACTCCTTCTTTAGCAGTGATGATCCTCTTGCTGTCATTCATCACTGAAGCTATCCTCTTTGCTCTGGTTGTGGAGAGGAGCAGGTCCATCCATCCAGGAGGTGTGTAATGTGCAACCTTAGGAAATGATTGGCATCAGTTTTGTAGAAGCTCCCTCGGTTCCAAGGCATCATATCAGTCTTGTGTCATGTGCATTGATTGTAGGCAGAACCTGAATCGCGACTAGGGTGCCGATGCAATTCTTTTGGCCTCTGCCTGCTGAGAGAGGGATATGAGAAAGGCCATGTGAAGGTGAAACAGATCATCTGCAGGGGCTACTGTCTCCTGAGGACCTACAGGCTCTGACTGTAGTGAAATAGGACATAGTTTTTTTTCCTTTTGTGTGTCAGTCTAGGAGATAGTGTCTACCAGGTGCAGATGGTACCAATGATGGGTAGGATTTCAAGTGGTGAAGAGAGACTAGGGAAGAATCAATCAGAAAATTGATAGATATTTCCAAAACTGGGCCTTGGAGATGGTCAACAGGTACATGAAAAATGCATAGCATCATTAATCATCAAGAAATGCAAATCAAAACCACAATGAGATATTGCCTCATGCTCCTTAGAACGGCTATTATCAAAAGGACAATAGATTATAATTAGTGGAGAAAATAAAATTTTTGTGCATAGCTGGTGGGGATAAAAATTGGCACAGCCCCTAAGGAAAAGAGAGTGGGAATTCCTCAAAAACTTAAAAAACAGAGCTACCATATGATGTATTTACCCAAAGGAAATGAAATCACTATCTCAAAGAGGTATCTGTATACCCACATTCATTGTGGCATTATCCATAATGGCCATAAGTGAAAACTACCTGTATCCGTCAAAGGATGAATGGACAAAGAAAATGTGGTATATGCTTATAATGGAATGCTCTTCTTTTTAAAAAGATTTATTTATTTATGCATACAAGAGCTGGGGTGTAGGTCAGAGGTGTGGGGGGTGAGAGGACTCACCAGAGACAGAGTGGGGAGCAGAGCAGGCAGATTGACTGAAATACACTGCTGAAGGGAGCAGGGGGCGAAACAGGAGAGGTCTGCTGTGCCATATGGATAGCTCCCTGACCAGGGATTGAACTCATGCTGTAGTGGCTGCAGATAGCCTCACAGTGCTGATGCCTCACTCCTTGCACCACCAGAAGGTCTGGGATAATATTAGTCTTAAAAAGAAGGGGATTCTGCCATTTTTGACAACATAGATGGGTCATGAGGACATTGTGCTAAGAAAAGTAAGTCAGACAGAGAAATACTGTAAATTCTAATGTGAAATCTAAAAAAGCCAAACACACACAAGCATTCCCACATACAAACACAAAGGGAGAATAGAATGGTGGTTGCCAGTCGCTGAGGGTTGAGGGAAGTGGGAAGATGTTGGTCAGACTTTACAAAGATCCATTTATAAGTGGAATAGGTTCTGGTGATTTATAGTTCAGCATGGTGACTATAATTAACAATACTCTATTATATACTTGAGAGTTGTTAAGTGAGTAGATATTAAAGTTATCACCACACACACACACAAATGGCAATGATGTGAGGAATCGGAGATGTTCATTAACCTTATCATGGCAATAATTTTGCAATACACGCACGTATCAAATCATCACACTGTACACCTAAACGTACATGTGTTATATGGCAATAATGTCTCCATAAAGCTGGTCTTGGCAGCCTCACACCTTGATATTCAGAATAGTTCATCAGAAGGTCCTGGAATGTCTTTGCTGTAACAGGTACTGTGCTGGGTGTTAGGAATCTAGAGGCAAATAAAACACTTCCAAACCTCCAGGAATCTTTGCATTCATAAGTAAGTGTTCTGTATTGAATCATTGTTGTCTGTCAAGTACACAAGTTTAAACATTTATCAGTTGTTCTTCCAGATAAAACTGGTGTTCTATGAAGAAAAAAAAAAAAAAAGACTGGTATAGCTTACATCTCAATTGCTCACAGACTTTTCCTTGAGACAACTATTCTTCAGAATGTTGCAAAAGTGTTTGCTGCATATTTCCCATTAGTGATGGAATAGAAAAAGATGTGTACTCAAGGTTCTAAATTTACTAAAATAAATAATTTTAACTGCTTCTTTAAGGACACTCTTAAGTGACATTTACTTTTTTAATAAAAATTGTTTTTGATGACAGTGAAGATTACAATGATCATGAGTCCAATTTGGTTTCAATGGCTCAATGCATGAGAAGAAGTAGAAATTTTACCCTTCATGGATTTTTACCATCCAGTGCCAATATTAACAGATTAACAGAATGAAAATTGGTAATAATATCTTAATATCATGGTGAAAATAATTTTGAACTTGTGGACCCCTTTAAAGGATCTCAGAGATTTCCTGTCTTTCAATGATACTTTGAGAACCACTGATCTCTACAAGCTTGGTTTCTGAATTGCTCCCCCTTCGTATGTTCATCTTTTCTTTCCTAAAGGGTGAAAAGATCCATTTGCATTAGATCTATACTGAAGATCTAGGAAGGAAGTCAGGATTTTCTCTTTGATTTCACTTATTTCATTCTTTGTTCAATTTACATATTATCTTTTGATTCAATATGAGCTGGTGATCTATTCAGAGGACAACAGCTAAGTCTGATTGGTCCCCAAGAAAGAAAATAGAACAGAGAGTGGGGTGACGAAAGCATGAGAGGAAATAAGATTTGAAGAGAAAGAATTAACAATGAGGGAGCAGAGAACTGAAGAGGTGACATCAGAGAAAAATAAACTAAAAATTAAAAAGAGAGACACCATGAGTAATGGAAATAATACAAAGAGAAGAAAGACCCCTGGAGTTGGAGGACATGATTCAATCTGCTAGAAAGACTGTGAGTCTCATGATATGGATTCAAAAGGACCACATCTAGTTGTGATCCTTGCAATGTCCTCTCCGGGCTTCATTTTTCCCCTTTTACGAAATGAGAGTAAGAATTCAAAAATCTTTGTACGCCATATTCTACATCATATTCTACAGTAAGAATGGGGGAAAGCAATGGTACTGGTAGACAAGAACATCTATAGATGAGTTTTAAGAGTCCTTGCACTCATAAAATTATAAGCACAATCATATGTGTCTGTGGGTGTTTTCCTTTAGAGCAGGGAGTGGGTTGTTTTAATCAGTTACTCTAAAGCCTCCTACCAAACTGGATGAAGAACCACTGACTGGGAGGCTTCACAATCTTCTCTGGTCCTGAAACTTTATGATCCTTGCATGGAAGTATCCCTGTAAAGGGGTCCTGTAACGGCAGGACAGGGACGGAGCAGGATCTCTATGACCCGAGCAGACGGGGTAAAGGAGAAGAATCCTGGAGCCCTCAGTGGCTTTTGCAGGCTTTTATTGGGATTTTACTGGGTACACAGCAGGCAGGTATGCTGGGGGGCTGGGAGACCTAGCAGACCTCCCAGCCCCCAGCAAGCCTTCACTCTATCTGGGTTCTCCAGCTTTCTCTGGTGGCCTTGTTCTCTGCTGCTCCTGTGGTTCTTCTGGCATCCCCGTGATGCCGCTCTTATAAGCCAGTCTCTCAGCTCAGGTGTACCTCCTTACGCATGCCCACACCCTACTCCAGGTGCCCGCCATCAGGCATGCATTCAGAACCGCGAGGATCCATCATCAATCCTAATGGCGGGGGGTGGGGGGCAGAGAAGCCTGATACTTTTTCACTTACCTACAGGTCCTAAAATTGTTTAGATACCAAAATTGCTGAGTTTCAACTTCATTGTCTTTGACTAAGAGCAAAATTCAACATGAAGTCTCTGACCTCTGTAACAACTGTTGTTTTCCTATGTAGGTTTTAAAGAAAAAAAGGAAGCGCAATCCCTGGGTGTCCTGAACCCCGACTCACTGCAGTGCCTAAAGGAAAGACAGGTGGGAAATCACTCTCGGGCCTCCCTAACTACCCATCCTGGGTTTTGTGTGCACGCAAACAGAAATGGCTTTACTTTGCATGCCAGGGCCATGGCGCCTCTGGTCTTAGGTTGTTGACTTGGTCTCAGGAAGGAACAAAGCTGACCAAGTCCATTGAATGGCAGGCAGTGGAAAACCAGTGCTGTGGGCTGACAGGCAGGGCAGCGGTCACGCCACACTTGGTCACCTCCCCCTAAGAGGTGCTCCCACTCCCCTGCCATGGCTGGCTTTGGCAGGCGCTGCCAGGCAGAAGCATGCAGGAAGCCTTGGGTCACAGTGACCTCTAGTTGCTGATGCCAGATGAAATATGCCCTGGAGTTTCTCCAGGGTCACATGGTGTGTGGAGTAAGAGAAGCAGGGCTGCTTTTACGCTGACAGAGTGGACTTTGGCTCCAAAATGGCACTCCTTGGGGAGTAGGCGGGGCTGTGGGGGAGGGCAGGCAGGACAGTGGCGTGAGAGTGGGCAATAGGGAGTATCAGTTATGTTTTTTAAAATTCCCTTTAGCCTTCCTGGAAGCCACTTGCTCCTGGAGGTGGAAGCACACACCCAAATCGGTGGCGCAGACATTTAGGGAAAAGTTTCTGTGTGTTTTGTTGTTTATATGGCAGAAGGGGTGAATTTCTAACTCTGTCCATGCTGGGCCTTAGAGCTGGAAAATATCTGTATAATAAGTAGGGCTTCACTTAGCATCTCTCAGAAACTCAACCTCTCAAAAATAGAAAGAAATAAGACAATGACTGCTCTTGTATCTGCTCTCTCTCCTCTTGGTTACCTTTTAGTCACTACCTGAGGAAACAATGATACCTTTGTCTTTTCCTTCCTGCTGAAATCTCTCTTCACCTTCTTACATGTTGGGTGATCTAGTCTGGTTCTTCTGAACCCCAAATTCAAGAAGATGCTCAGCTGTACCCAAATGAGACTTCTGCCAGAGGTCAATGGTGGACACCTATTTGTTGTCCCACCAGGGCCCAAGGAGCCCAAATTCGATCCCTTTGCCTTGGCCTGAGCAGTGGGAAGGGGCTTGGCCACTTCTGTTTTCAAGAATCAAGAACAGAGGCCTAAAATGGAAACAGCTGAGAGTAAAGAGCCAAGTCATAAACAAGATCCAGCTGGAGGAGGTCAGCCTCCATAGTCAGGCTGACCACAGTCTTGTAAAAGAGGTCAGGCCCCAAGAGCTGGGCTGGGGTGCAAGGAGTGTTTTTACCAAGGCCAGATGATGAGCAGTGAGGTAGGTGGACTCTGTTCCCCCCCCCATACCATACCCATCTTCAATTAGCAAAGCGTGGTCTTGCTGATTTTCTCCCCATTCTCCACTGAAGGTGAAGTTTCTCCAACTTGGTTGAAATGGAGATAGGAAGGATGTCTAGAATCTAGAGGAGATACATCTTTGGAAAAGATCAAACACATCATATAAAGAGAAGACCAACTCTTGAAAGCAGACCATAGGTATAAGACTTCTGGGGTGGGGGAGCGGGTAAGGAGTGGGGAGAGTACAATGGTCTATGGCAGAGGACTGTGGGTGCTTTGGTGGTGGGAGTGCTATGGTGACCACATATGAGTAGGTAACCCTATACTGAAAACACTAAGAAGGGTGTAAAACAATGCTATTTCAGTAAAAATAAATAAATAAAAATTAAAAAATAAAGGGCAGCAACAATGTCATCTTCCACCTACCTTTGACTTTAAATCACTTCCTCTGTCCCCATGGGTCTTGGCTCCCACTCTCTAGCCCACTCTACTGCATTTCACATTTTCTTGTAGCATGTATCTCAAACTATCTTATGATTAATTAATTAGTAATGGCAGTGACTAGTATTTCTACAGTGATCTCTGCTAGCAAAGCATATTGATTTGCCAATATTAACTCATTTTTTTCCTTCTTTATAATGACTGAGAAATTGCTAGACTAATTGATGGTATGTTCATAAAGAGACCAATTGCTACAAAAAAATAGACCTTGATTCATCAGATTAGGACTTGAATATAAGCTTTATCACTGGGAGACGTATAAGCTTGGACAGCTGGCTTGACCAGTTCAGGCTGCAGTCGGTGCCAACAAGAGAGATCTGTGCCCTCTCATTTGTCAGCAGGACCATTGTAGCCCCCGCTGTAAGCTATGTTTTTGGTAAAGAAATATCTTTTCTTGCACACCCAGAAAAATATGGTTTTGGAGGCATCATATTTTCGCCAACATGCTATTTGGAATCCTGATCAAATGCCAAGGATTTCTAGCATCAAAACAGCTTTATTTCAAAGTTCCTTTTGGAAATGTGAAGGCAGTGAACTCTGCTATGCTTCATATCTCACTTCTCTTTGGCATTGTGAACTTGGGTCATTACTGTTCCTCTAGGGGCATCCCCTCATCCCCGTTCTTCCATTTCCCTTCTACCTACTAGCCTTTCCAAGCTTTTGCTTTGTACATTTGGAGCGTGCCTGCCCATGCCACAAAACTCTCATTTTTAGTCTCTCTACAGAGGTCTTTCCCTATCTTCTTACCTAACTGAAACCTGGTCTCTCCAGGGGGCACTCCTTGTCTGGAAATCCTTTTACATGGCTGCCCAACACATTTTTCTTAAGTCTTACTCTGAAGTTAGAGCAATATTAACTTTCCTTTACCCCCCACACTGTTGCTCCCAAGTCATCCTTCTTCCAGTTCCCTGTTTCTCTGAAACATGGTGTTTGGCTCTCCCATACAAATTCTCTGCATTCCACAACTCTCCCTACCCCCTTCCATCCCTGTCAACCAGGGAGCTCTTAATCTTTCTCCACATTCATTGAGGGCCTAGGTAAACAATTTACAGTTCTCTCCTTTTCCTGCAGCCCCACCATTGTTTCTGGCCATCAATATGCAGAGGGCTAGCAATTCCTTGTCTTTCACAAACATTCATTCTCTCACCACAGGCCTCTATCATTCCACCTCTCTTCCCCCTTAAACTGTTCTGTAAGGGTACCTGTGTGGTCCATACCTATCTTCCCTCATCTAACAGCTGTCTTTTTATGTTTATCTGTTTATTCTGACTAGCAAAGATGCCCATTCTCTCTTTGGTGCCATAAACCCCATTCTTTGGCCATTGCACATACTGAATCAACTCTACTCTCTAGTCCTACACTTACCTCATTGAGCCAGGAGAATCATGTCATCTATGAACTCATGCCATTATAAATCATGGCACTCAACTCAGTCTGGTTTTCAGTAACATGTATCCCAAATTTGGTTCTTTTCCCATTTCCTACAACAGACATTTTAGAATTTTCTAGAGGTGTAAAAACTCTGTCTAATGGAACTATCACTCTCAGCAGTGTGCCATATCTGAGAAGTCACAGTTATGTTGATGCTATCTGCTGTGAACTATAACTATGACCATTCCTCATCTTGTCTATACCTGCTTCTGGGTAAGAGGTGTCTCTTCACATCTTAGGCTAATTTTCCCTTGGACTCTAGATCTCATCACCTACCTCTTTCTCCTCAAGAACTTTGCTCTAGCAGTTCTCATCTCTTCCCTGGTATTCCAACCTCTTCTTCACTACTTGCTTTTTTGTCTTCAACATAGGAAATTACCCATCTCTCCTAACTAACCAACCCAGTTATTAAAAACTACACCCACTAACATTACCTTAGCAATATCTTCTACTTCCTTCACCTGTAAGCCATATGAGTTTATTTGGCCATTATTGACTCATCTTCATCCCCATTCTTTCCTAAGCCAGACAGTCTGGCTGCTGCCTCCATTACTCCACCATGGCCTTGAATTATGTAAAACAAACTAATCTGTTGTAGGCCCATTTTTTTGACCTCTCTGTAGAAGGTAATGCTTTATGTATTTCTATAAAAGTTTCTCTTTGCTTAGGTATAGCGCAGTCTCTTTTCACACGTTTCCTATTTTATCAATTTTTTTCCCTATTTACTTTTTAAGTAAAAAATATCAATAATAGGGCCTCCCTGGTGGTGCAGGCAGTTGAACGCCACAATGTGAAGCTGTCGGCAGCCTCTGCAGTACGGGTTCTATCCCCACCAGCCAGGGAGAATCCCACATGGCATGGCAGACCTCTCCTCTTTCATCTGCTGCTCCCCTCAGCAGTGTACTTTGGTCCTTCTGCCTGTTCTATTCCCTGCTCTGTCTCTGGTGAATCCTCTCACCCTCCCACACATCTGGCCTATATCCCGGTTCTTGTATAAACAAATAAATCTTAAAAAAAGATATCAATGATAGCAAGTATTTCTTGAATATTCACTATTTACCATGTTGCTTGATCAGGTTTGACATACATATTTTTACTTGCATCACACAGCCTTGGAAGTAGGTGCTACCATCATTCTCATTTTGCAGATGAGTAAACAGGAATAGAGCGGTCTAATGACTTGTTCAAATCATGCTGCTACTAATAAACACCTAAGTTGAGATTTGAACTGATACATTCTGCCTCTAGAGTTGAGGCCACTACTCTACTTATTTCCTAAAAGCTTTTGTTACTCAGTCTTCTCCTCTTCTTATTGTGCATACTCTATCGAGACAAACCTGTCATTTACTCCAATATTCAATTGATTGCTCATTTTGTAATTCAAGTCAGGAGATAAGAAATTCAGATGAAATTATTAATGGTCTTTGTTTTACCTCAGTTTCTTCATCTGTGAAATGGAAGAGTTGTATTTTCTAAACAGATGTATATAAAAAGCTGACCTACCATAGTTGTCATCTGATCTCTCTCTCTACACTGTTAATTGAATGTCCCACTGGCATCTCAAACTCACCATTAACCAAACTAACCACACCATGCCCAAAATGTTGCAGTATTATAGCTTGTCCCCTTTTATCCACTGTGGATTATCTTTTTATTCTTTCTCCTGGTCCCACATATAACCTGTCTCCAAGTTAGATCCTAGTGACTCAAATGCTTTAATTGATTCCATGGTCTAATTCCAGGCCCTTATCACTTCTGAACTGAACAGTTTTCCTACTTGGAATCCCTGACTCTACTTTTTATAGCTCTGACTCATTCCATACATGTGTCCTTATGAAATATCTCTTAGGTTGTCATAAAGCAAGGTATGTTTTCTATCTTTGAGTCTGCCATGCCTAGAATGGTAATGATTTTTTATAAGCTTTAAAGAATAAAAAGGATAGCTTAAGCAGAAAGAATTTTTTGAAGGATCCTGGAAATATTCATGGAATTTCAGGAAGAGGTGAATATTAAATCCTTGGAAATGACCTAACAATGAAATAGATATATGTCTATATTAGAATCTATCTCTGTCTCATGTTTCTGCTGTTTTTCATTATATCAGCCTTATTTTTTCCTTTCACTATGACCTTTCTGTAATAGTTGGCAGAAATCAAGGCCCATCACAGCTTCCAAATTTTTCAACTTACTTTCAACCACTGACTAGAATGTACTCTGATTTTCTCTTAGTCCCAAATATCAAAATACCAATTTAATCATATATATGATCAGGGAGTAGGGTAAGGTAAGTAAAGGAAAGTTTTAGTGGTATGTATTGATGGACTGCAGAAATGGAAAGGTACCAAAAGAAAAATACAGTTCTAAGAAGTGGGTGTTGAAATAGACAAATGACAGAATTAAATGAATCCTCTATGTGTCCCCAATTCCTCTATAATATGAGAATTGCATTTACCTTACAGGCTTATGAGAACAAAGCAATGATGTAATGCTTGGTAGATAACAGACACTCAGTAAATGCTATCTAAGACCCTAATATCTCATCCAGGTTGGAATTGGGAGGAGGGACAGAGTTTAGGAGGAATTTGCCATAGCATGTCACCTTTCAATACCATCAGTATGGTGCTCTTTTAAAATCTCTGTCAATCGCTATGCCCCATCTTGTCTCCTATTCATACTTAAATTAATTCCAGACATCTCCCTTGGTGGAGGCTGAGTTTCCACAGTCCCCAAGGAAAACTTTCAGGCCTTGCAGAACAAAGTTGTCATTGGCACCAATATTCATATTTTCAAAAGATTAACAGAATTTTTTTAAAAGATTGATTTATTTATGCATACAAGAACTGGGGTACAGGGCCTCCCCTAGTGGCTCAGGCAGTTGAGTGCAGTGCTATGAAGCTGTCCACAGCCTCTGCAGTGCGGGTTCAATCCCGGCCAGCTGGCGAGAAAGTCACAAGGCTCAGCAGACCTTTCCTATCTTGATGGCTGCTCCCCTCAGCACTGTATTTCAGTCAGTCTGCCTGTTCTTTTCCCCGCTCTGTCTCTGGCGAATCCTCTCACCCTCCTGCACGTCTTACCTGTATTCCAGTTCAAGTATGTATGAATAAATAAATCTTAAAAAAAAAAAAAAAAGAAATGGGATATAGGCCAGAGGTGTGGGGGTGACAGGATTCATCAGAGACAGAGTGGGGGACAGAACAGGCAGATTGACCAAAGTAGACTGCTGAGGGGAGCAGCAGGCAAGTCAGGAGAGGTCTGCTGCGCCATGT